AGTATCCCTAAACACTTTTATTGCTTTGGTTCTTTCGAGAATTTTATTTTCTATTTTTAGAAATGATAATATATTTGGTAAAAAAGTTTTTCTTTAATTGGAATGGAATAGAATGTAGTTGGTGTTTTCTGTATTCAATGATTATTTGTTAGATTTAAATCAAGTATTAAGTTTTTTAAATTCAATACTTGCAGCTTCAAAGAGTTCTATGATTGAAGTAGATGAATAAAATAAATTAGTATCATCTGCAAACATTATGGCATCGAGTTTATTTGAGACTTTTGGGAGATCATTGATGTATAACAAGAAGAGTAAGGGAGTTAAAATGGAATCTTGGGGAACTTCGCATTTAATTTAAGCAATTTTGAATGGATATTTTTATCTGAAATAACAGATTGCTGTCTGTTTATAAAAATGCTCTTAAACCATTTTAAAGCAATCTTTTGAATGCCATATTTTTACATTTTTTTAAGTAATATAGCATAATCAACAGTACCAAATGCTTTTGATAGGTCAATAAAGATTCCTAGAACAAATTTGTTATTATAAAAAGAGTCATTTACTTTATTTACAAGGTCTAATATCGCATGTTCGGTTGAATGTTGCTTTTGAAATCCGACTGTTTTTTATTTAAGATTGTTATTAGTTTTTTTATTTAAGACTGTTATTAGTTAAGTATTTTTATAGTTTATTGTAAACTATTCGTTCTAGAAGTTTAGAAAAGGCTGAAAGGATTGAGATGGGTCTGTAGTTATTAAGTGAAGATGACTCTCCGGTTTTAAAGACTTTTGCAGTTTTTTAATTTGTCTGGAACAGTTCCTGTTTTTACGTTAATTCGAGAAGACACTTATTACTACGTTGCTACAAATCTCATTGATCCCTGGTGCTTTGTTAATTTTCAGAGAGTTTTTTGCAGCATCGAGTTCATCGTAACTTAGACCATTGATTTTTAGTTCGCTATGTAGATCTGTAAGATAGGTTTCAAAATAGGTATTTGGGCATTGAATTTTAGGCACCATGTTAGGGCTGATGTTTGCAAAAATACTGTTGAAATGTTAGACAAAACATTTATTCTGTTTCATCCGCAACAGTTCTATCAGGTAAGGTGTTTGTTTTGGTACTTTTTGTCCCGATTATTTCTTTTATGATGTTCCATGATTGTTTAATATCACCATTGGTATCTTAAAGTAGTTTTGAAAAGTATATTTTTTAAGAGTTTTTTCTTATTTTTTCAAAAAGATTTTTGTATTGCTTGTAAATAGATAAGTTGTCTTTATTTCTGTTTTTTTAATACTTTATGTAGAATTTTTGTTTTGTTTAAGAGGATTTTTCAATTCCTCTAGTAATCCATGCACATTTCAAATATTTTTCTTTTACTACTTTTTCTTTGATCGGAAAATTATTATTATAATGTTTTAGGAAGATATCGATAAATAAATTGTATGCGGAGTTTGTGTCCTCAAGGTTGCATTTTTTATATACTTCATCCCAATCTACTACTGATAGTGTGTCTTTAAATTTTTGAATAGAAGTTTTATTAATTTTTCTTTTATAAATTTTGGCTTTATAATTGTTATTTTTTATCATATCTTGATTTATATAAGGTTAATTACAACTACTTTATGGCCGTAAAAAAAAAAAATCTGGTCTTTTTTAATAAATTATTATTTATATTTTGCATGTCTTATATAATCATATCATATATTAACAAATTATGTTGAACAATTGTTTATAAGAGGTTAATATCATACTTTTTACAAGCGACCTGCAAATTGAAAGCTACTTTAAAAGTGTTTGTAGTTGTAAGCAACAAATGCATTTTTTAGCGCTTCAATATAGTTTGTGTTCTCTAACTTTTCTTCTTTGCCTAAACTGATTGAAATCCTGGTGAATGGATTCCAGAGCTTGTTCGGTTTAGTAACTTAAGCATATAGAATTTATAATATGTTACTCAACTATGTGTTCTTTCAAAGAAATCGGAGCCCCTAGATTTCTATAGCTCGTAGAGAACTGCTCTATATCTTTGACATAAGTTGAGCTTAATGTTTTTCCAAAACCGCCATGGAATACTTTTTCAAAATCTCTAAGTACCCTAATGTATTTAGATAGGAGAACTCCAAGACTAGACTCCTGAAAAAACATCTCAAAGCTGTCTATGTTTTTAAGCAACTTATTGCAAGCATTGCCTTCTAAACGATGCTGTCTTTGGTAGGATATTATTCAGATATTTATTGTAGACAAATATCGGTTGACAAACTGTAACCAAAACTTCTTGTTTTCAAACAAATTTTTTTCAACTTCTTTTAAAATTTTGTCTATAACACCTAAAAGTAGATGTGTAAGTATAGCTCTAACACGCAACATTAAAAAACTAGGAGGTAGAGTACTTTTTTATGTAGACGAAGGGATGCAGTTTATAATAGGCTTGACAATAAACATTTCTGATATTGGCAAAGATTGAAATTGTAGCTAAAAAAAACTATAAAATATAATTATAAGTTGCTGTTATTGCCCACCATCTGGTGAAATAAATAATTTTAAATCATATTTAATTATTGATATCATTAAAAAACTACATTAGAAAAAAAACTAAACTACATAATCAGTAACATAAATGCATTTAAAAATCGCGTAAATTGCAAAGCTGATTAAACTTACCAAATTTAACATGTGGTGTCCCCTCAGGGTCTATACTAGGAACACTTTTTTTCCTCATTTTTGTTAATGACCTTCATGAAGCCTCAAACTTATGTTTGAGGCTTCATGAAGGTCATTAACAAATATGAAAATACTGTTTGCTGATGACAATAACCTTTTTCTGTTAAGTAATAATGTTTTTAAACTTATTCATGTTATGAAAATAGAACTAATTTTAATTTCAAACTGGTTTAAAAATAATAAATAAATTAACATAGAAAAAAAATAAATAGAATTTAATAAAGCAATCAAAAGTTATACATTTCCTTCGTGTTTTCATTGATGTAAGTCTTAGATGGAAAAATTATACCGAAACTTAAAAAATATTGGGCTATTGTGTAAATCAAAAAGTTTTTTAAATAACATGCATTAATTCAGCTTTATTACTCGCTTATTCAATGCCATGTAAAGTATGCAAATATCAAATGGGTTGTGCGAAAAAAAAAAATTAGATATTCTTTATTGGCAACAGAAACATCTAGCACATCTAGCAAACTTCAAAAATCGTTATTCTCATGCCAGACCTCTTTTATTGGAAATGAATGTTCTTAGTGTATATCAACTAAATAATTTTAACGTTCTTTACTTTATGTACAAATGTCAAATAAAGTTAACGCCTATATCCTTTTAAAATTTATATGTAATAAAACCCAAAAACAAATATGACCTAAAAAACGACAATCTTATTCATAAACATCATTCGCATACAAATTTTAGAAGATATCTTATATCATATCACTGTGGAACCAAAGAGTTTTAAAAATTTATATATTTTTTTAAATTTGGAATTTTCTTTCCTTAAAAAAAACACTGAAAAAAGTTATTTCCTTAATTGATAATACATTTACATAATATTTATATAAAAAATATTCTGTATTTAAAATAATTGAAGTTTTTAAACATTATTGTTTAACGATTTACTTTATTATTAGTATTTTGTTGACCTTATGTTACTGTATTCTTTAAATAATTGGTTATATTTTTATTAAATTGTTAAACCGTTTAAATCGGTGAAAGAATTTTACAATTCTTTTCGAATTTCCATGTTCTTAAACTTTATGTACAACTGCATTTTACCAGAATATTTAGTAATGAGAACAAAAACAAAAACAAAACAAAACAAAACGCATGAAAGAATTCAAATATAAAGTTTAAGCAGAACCATTGTTTTCACTTATATGCATCACGGGTTACGTTCACAAATAAAATGGCCATGTTTATCTGATACGCAACTTAATTATATAAAATATAGCGCCTACATTTATAACTTGAATAAAGAAATTTTTGTTATTCCCAATTTTATATTTGAGTAATGCATATTTTTCTTAATTTAATTTGAACACCCAGTGGAAAATTGGCAAGCAACTAGCTAGCGATATTCGTAACAATAAAGATAACGATTTGGATTCAAAGTTTGCTTGGTTGAAAAACTTCCCAGCAAAAAGACTACCATTATCATATTACTTTTTCATATTGATGCTATATACTATAATATTATTATTACATATTATTAATATGAAATAATAGTAGTATAGTATATGCCATCAACTTTCAACACTTTTTTTTTTGTCGTAACAATCGGTTTAAAGATTATAAACCTTTTTCTTTAAAATCTTCATGCATTTAAATTTGCGGTAAATATTTTTTTAATGAAAAAAAAGAAGATTAAAAATTAGTGAATACAAAGCACGCACCTTTAATGCCACACCTACTTAGGAATAAGAAGATAATTATCTACTGTTTTCAAACAAGAAATAAAAGGGGAAAAAATGTCAATTGGGAAAATTTGTATATAAGGCAAATGTTTACAAAATCATGAATTGAACCAAATTGGGTTTCAAAAGTAATAGCATAATACTCAAAATAACGTCAGTAGAAAGTCGCAAAAGTACCTCAAATTTCTAATACAAAACAAAATAAAAACAAAACAAAAAAAAAACAAAAGAAAATATAAAAAATCATCGATCAGCTAAAGTATTTATTTAGAAATATCAGGCCCTTTATTTTCTGATCATTTTAAGGAAGTAAGTAGAAACATTTGGCTATTAAATGTTTTACTCTCTCAGAAAACACGTAATCTTTGCTGACTATCGCGGGAAACATGTTACCTGCAACATTTAGCAAAGATTTTCCTGCAAAATGTCAGTATAACATTAAAATAAGTTGGCTATTCAAACAACTTATACTAGATAATTAGATTACCTCCAATCCAACTTCAAAGTTGTGTATATGTTATTTATAGCAAAAAAAAAAAAAAAATTAAGTTGCAAACTTTGATATAAAAAATAAATATAAAAACTTACATTAAGAAAAAATACAACAAGACATATTCCAATTGGCAAAGAGGCAGCTCCATTAACGTAGAAAATTCTTTTTAACATAAGCATAATTTTCATTTTTAAGTTAATTGACTAAAATTAAAGTAATAAGAAAAAATAATTTTTTTTTGTTAAAATAGTTATTAAGGAGTAGAACTAAGAAAATAAGTTAATGCTGAAGAAATGTTTTAAATTTATCATTTTTTTTTTTAAACTTTATAAAAAAGTTTAACAAATAAATAAAAAAAATTATCTCGTCTCAATGAATAAACATCTGAACATAATTATTAGTATTATGTATCGAATTAGTTCTTGCATCAAAGTCGTAAAAATTCAAGCTATTACACTTAATCTCATTGTTTCATTAACTGCGTTTTATTAACTGCGGTAAAAATTTCTACTCTCTTAACAAGATTATAAATATATAAACAAAAAATGTTAATCCTTAAATAAAATAATTAATATTTTATGAAAATAGAGTATGTGTTAATAACAATTATGTTAGAAATTTATATTGATAAAATTACAATGAAAAATTTAAAAGGTGTAGTGAAAACTACACCTTTTAAATTATTATTTATTTTTATTTATTTTTGCTTCTTTGCTTTTTTTTGTTTTCTTTTGTTTCTTGTCAATAAAATTAAACTAAACTGTTTTAATAAAATTTAAAGAGATTCCATGTTAGTTTTTAGTTTGTATTATAGTTTTTTTAAAACTATTATAAAATATTTTCGAAAAATTAATAGAATTTAGTCATCTACCCTTCGGTTTCTAAGATTAACTCTTACTTCGGGTCATTCTTGGAAACAATATATCAAATCCATAGAAAAATTAGCATCTGTAAGATTGCATCTCTTTATCGTGCTCGCCGCGATAAAGAAATTCTTACTCCGGATTCTAATCTTTATCTACATAAATTTCAAATCTGCTCTTGATAAAATACTGTTGCCATATCTGGAGCGGATCTTTAAATAAGCATTGTAAACATAGTTGGACCTGACAACCTTCAACCATTGTGATGTTGCTTTTTTTCTTTCAAAGTCATCGTAAAGTTTTTTTTCTTCTCATTTTTGTAAATACTATAATGGACGTTGCTCTAAGGAGCTGGCGCTCCTTGTGTCATCTTCCGAAATACATTCTCTTGTTACTCGTCATTTAATTATGTCTTACTTTGTTACTGTGACTGTTCCTAATTGTTCAAAAAATTCTCATTTATAAAGTTTTTTTCCTCAAACATAAGCTCACTGGATATCGCACTAGACGAATGATCTTACAAATCCTACAAGAATCCTATAGGATGAGATGCACAAGTCCCTGCAGGACCTACAAGAATCTTTTGAAGAATCTTGTAGGATTTGAAGGAATTCTTATAAGATAATATAAGATCTACAAGAATATTTTAAAAGATCTTGCAGGATTAAATAGGATTCTTATAGGATACTGAAGGAAAATTTTAGATTCGTATATATACGGCCGTAGCCCTCCCCCTTAATCCAGCACTGGTTCCTATAGGAACCAGTGATAAATTAAAGAGGAGGGGGCTAGGGCCCTAAAATTTCGGGATTCCGAAACTATTAAGCGGACCTTTTTCTTTTTCTACGGTTTTAGTCATTTTTATGCTGTGGCACGTTAAAAAGGATTCCGGGCGCTGAAAAGTCTTAATACGCCAATGATAGGAACCATAACATTTATCATTTTATAATTGATATCATAAATCTAATAGCCAAACTAAGAACATACGAAGTTAGGTTTTCATTTTGATTGGAAGGAAAGTATGTCTATTCTTCTTTTTAATTACTGATAATAGGTAAATTAAAGTTTGAAATAACATTTTCTTATAAAAAAAAATCATTCTGTACAAAAGAAACTTTTCACATATTATCATTATTACAGAACCATAATTGCATTGCTGATTACTTTCGTTTTTTCTTCCTATCTAGGCCGCTCTGATTAAGACTTCGTCTGACGCACGCCAACGAGTAATTGGCAAAAACTGTTGCAAGTTGCTCTTTGAGATTTCGTATTATTGCATCAGGAACTGTGGTTCTATAATAAGAAATAAAGATATATAAAGAAAAAAAATAGAAATCAGGCAATTAATCATTAATTAAAAATTTAAAACCCGTCCCGCCCCTTAACCCATCGCAGACTTAAGGGAGGTGGGGGGTTATTACCCCCTGACAAAATTTTTAAATTATTTAAAGAGTATGACTAAGTAAAAAGTAAAAACACTTAAAATTTTAGCTACTTGCTCCAAATATTTAGGCGAATTTAAGTAAAAAAAAGTTCATTTGAAATGCCTAATCTGAGCATATTAGTCAAATCCTTGGATAGATTCGGTCAAACGAATTACTGGTCAAAAACTTAAATTTTGAATTCTGGCTTTTCTTTGTAATCCTGAAGTTTCATATTTTCCAAGAAGCTTTTTTTTATACTCACATATTTATAATTATTTCAATAAATAAAGTATGAGAAATTGTTAGTCCAAGATCCTACTTTTTTGGATCTGGATCATGATCCAACAAGTTAAACTAATTGATCCCAAATTTTCAAAATAGGTTAAGAAAAATAGAAAATTTAATAAAAACCCAAGCACTGAAAGTATGACTTTCTAAATAACCCCCTCCCACTCTGTGCCAACAACTTATAAAAAATATAGGTAAGCCTTAAAGCTGCTGCCCAATAACATTACCTACATAAAAATGCCCTAATTAAAAAACCTACCTATCAGCCTCTCCATGATTTGTATTCAGGCTTTTTCTAAAACTTTTTAAATTTAATAGAATCGTGTTAAAAATACAACAAACTTTCATACTTTAAAAAGTGTATATATATATATATATATATATATATATATATATATATATATATATATATATATATATATATATATATATATATATATATATATATATATATATATAATATGTAAAATAAATATATATCAATTTTTATTATTAATTTTTATTAATTAATTAGAGTATAGTTTAAATACAATAATAAATATTAATACCACAAAATTTATGCATATTTATGTTACCAAGTTTATAAAATTTTTATAAAATCCATAATATAAAATAATCATGATATAGCAACTATTAATATATTTCTTTAACAAAAATGAAAAAGATATTAGATTCTCAAACAGCATGTTCTTTATAAAGAACATGCTGTTTGAGAATCTAATATCTTAATTTTGTATCTAATATCTTAATTTTTGTGATTTGTGACGTGATTTAAATGCACTAGTAACGTGATTTAAATGCGTTATTGGAAGGCATTATGAATTGCGGGAAAATAAATAGCACTCAAGTGCTATTTATTTTCCCTAATGATTTAAATCACGTCACTCTACGACTCAATTTACTCAGAAAGTCACGCAATTCAATGTACACTCTGATTGCAAGAAAAATTTTTAATTCAACTAGATTTTTTTGGTAATAATTTAATTTTAACGTAAGGGACAGATTGTTCCGGGCGGCAGATTTCCAAGGGCACCAAATAGAATGAAGGTACCTTGGAACAAAGGTCCTTTACCGATAATATAGGAGAATTTCGATAATTAAGAACGCCAATCATGTTGCTGTCCCGGGCGGCGAAATAGTTCTTGGCGGCATTTTATATATATATATATATATATATATATATATATGTATATATATATATATATATATATATATATATATATATATATATATATATATATATATATATATATATATATATATATATATATATATATATATATATATATATATATAGTTATTTGTTATTATTTAATTTTTTTACAACACTTTTATTTATATACATTCAATAAAAATAGTTTTTAATTATTTTGTAATTATAATATATTTTTATTTATTTCCATACTTATAATGTTGTGTAGCGCCGGTGGTAAGGCACTAATGGTCTAGTGATCCGGGTTTCGAAACCCACCACCGCTAAATTTTTCATTTTTCAAAATAAATTAAAAAAATTGAAAATCTTACGAATCCTTTATGATACACTACAGGATAATCACGGGATTTCTTATGATCTTATAGGATTTGCAAAACAAATAAAATCTTACGAATCCTTTAAGATACCCTATAGGTAATCACAGGATTTCTTATGATCCTATAGGATTTGAAAGACAAATAAAATCTTACAAATCCTTTAAGATATCCTGTAGGATAGTATAAGATTATATGCGATCCTATAAGACTCATAAGCTGTCTGTAAGATAGTCGACTAGTGCGCTCCCTTCCTCTTATTTTTCTGATTCATTATAATTGGCAATCATGCAAGTCGTCTGTTAATAGTTATCTTGTTTGTTATAAACTACATTGAAATCTTAATAGATAATAGCGAGATAAAGATTAACTTCATGTTAATCTAAATCTTGCTTCGTAAACTTCATCTTTTGTCTTTCAGTAACTTCCAACTTTAACAGTGGTTGCTTGCAGCCTTGTTGAAAGTGAAGTTATTAAAAAAAAACACACACGCAAACATAAACAAAATACTTTTATAAATAAATATAACATTCAAATTAAACAAGGGGGTAGTTGGTAAAGCGGCCCGAAAATTTTATAAATGTATATTTGATTTAACTTTTTCTTTTTTTATCGTTGAAAACAAAATAAATTATGTTTCAAAAGTTTTATTGAAATTTTGTTGAACATTTTTTCCTGGGTATTGCGTATATGGTATTCATCTGGGTATCGTAAATACGTAAAAACAGTGCTTGTTGAAGACTTTACAATTTCTTTATCCACCAGTTATGCTTTTTTCTTTGTATCTATAATTTTTTTGAACTTAAATTTGTTTTTTTGTTCATTAAAAAAAATTTTTGTTTTTTTATTATTATTTGAATAGAGTTTTTTAACAACAAATAGTTTCACAAAAGTTGGTCACTGAAAATTGACGAGGGCTAGGGAAAAATGAATTAATAATGAATATATTTTTCAGTCCGATGACGGCCTCAAAAAATAAATCAAAAACTGTACCATCGGTAAACGACATCGGCTTGATGTCTGCAAGTACCCCATAAAATGTCCTATTTACTAAGGGCAGGGCTAACATTAAGTAACGGTGTGACGCATTTCAAATACGTATATAAAATACGTCAATACGAGTT